CGATGCAGATCTTCACGTGTTGCCTTTCATCTAGATCTACTATTTTCTGTGCATGTTGTTGTTTAGTCGTCTTAGTCGTGTTTGACTCTCTGTGACCCCATGAACCAGAGCATGCCTTGGAAACTCTCACTTTCTTCTCAAAGCTTCTCCTTTTTTATGTCCATGGAGTTTTCTTGGCAAAATACTGGAGTGGTTTGCCAGTTCCTTCTCCAGGTAGATCACATTTAGTCTAAACTCTCCACTATGACCTGTCCATCTTGGGTGGCCCTGGATGGCATAGCTCATAGCTTCTCTGAGTTATTCAAGCCCCTTCGCCACATCAAGGCAGTGATCCATGAAGGGGTCTGTGCATGTACCTGGGCAAATGCTTTGATTGCTTCCCCCTCCTCCATGAATTTGTTTAATCCTCTTTTAAAGCCATCCAAGTTGTTGGCCATGACTGCATTACTGTGGGAGCGGATTCCATAGAGAGCACAGTGCCTTGAGCTAACCTATGGTCTGACTTGCAGGATTTTCTACCTCACAGCACACATTCTTGAAGCATAGTGGTACATCCAAGTGTTTGCTTTCCAGGGATGTCCCTGATTTAGAGAAGCCGTCCCGGTTTCTGATTTGATCTTGGAATGTCCCACTTTTCCTTAGGATGTCCCTATTATCGTTGGAAGGGTGTATGGAGTTATCCAACCCCCGAGCTGCCTGAAGACAGTCCTGTATAGGGAAGGATTTTTTTTAATGTTTAACGTTTTATTATGTTGTTATATATTTTGGAAGCTGCCCAGAGTGGCTGGGGCAACCCAGTAAAATGATTGTTATGGAATGGGACGTCCTTATTTTCATCAGAGAAATGTTGGAGGGTATGCAACTCAATAATGTCCTCCTTTCCCTGCTGTGCAACTCCCCAAACAGGATACAGACCTGAAGCACTAGAATCTGGTCCAAAGTTCTATGCCAGTTTGTGCTTTTCTGTCCCTTCCAAAATGGTGGCCATTGGTTTGTCTGGTTTTTTTCACAGCACAAGGAGCTTCTTTTGAGATAGCAGCTGCTAAAGAGGCCTACAGACTGTCATTTCTTTCCAGGAGTGATTCAATTGCATACCAGAGATTTAGATTTGTGCAATTAAACTTGCTTCAAGGGCTCTGCCACCCTAAATGCAACAAATATACAGTACTTTTTATATTATTTTTTAAAAAAACTTTTTGTGGTTAGGAAAATGGCAGGGAAATGCACCGAGAAGTGTGAGATGAATATATGATTCATGAGAAGGCACACAAACAAATCAGGATGAGTGCTCATTGCCCCACAGTGTCCCCACAAACAAATCAGAGTGAGTGCTCAGTAAAGGCTAAGCGTTGTCTAACCCAGGCATAGGCAAACTCCGGCCCTCTAGATGTTTGGGACTACATTTCCCATCGTCCCTGACCACTGGTCCTGTTAGCTAGGGATGATGGGAATTGTAGTCCCAAACATCTGGCGGGCCGGAATTTGCCTATGCCTGATCTAACCTGTGCATAAGCTTTGTGCAATCAAATCAGGATGAGTGTGTAATGAACAGGTCATCTGGAAGGGCCCTAAGAGACCGTGGACCTCAAAGAAATCAAACCTTCTCCACTGTGCTTAGTTAGGCTCTCAGGGAAGGACTTTGGGGCAGAAGTCCAGTGCTCTACGTAGCAGAAAGACTCCTGGACACAGCAGGGCTGACTTCCCACCTGTTGAAGGCATACCCTGCAACATTTCTCTGATGAAAACAGGGACACCCTATTCTATAATAATAATAATAATAATAATAATAATAATAATAATAATAAATTAACTATTCTGTGGGTAGCTCAATGTCAGAGCATCTTTGCATGCAGTAAGGTCACGGGTTCAATCTGCAATGGCATCACCAGGTATGACTGGGAAAGACCCCTGCCTGAAATGCTTGAGAGCCAGTCCGTGGAGGCAACACTGAGCTAGTTAATGGTCTGACTTAGTGTAAGGCAGCTGCTATCTGTGTTCTAGGTTTGAGGTCCAGCTGCCTGTCTGTTTACAGAGGGGGAGCGGGCAACATCCTGTCCTTTGCCTCGGACAGCAAAATGTCTTGTGCCACCTCTGGCCTCAATGCTCCTGAAAGGAAACCGTATGGACCATCCCCCCTTCTCCCTCTTAAATCTTCTTGGTGCAGGAGGGTGGCGAGACTCCCCAGCAGCCTGAGAGCTGGCTCCATTTTGCGGCCTCCTAGCTGCTCCTCTGTTCCTTTTCTCAAGGAAGACGCTCGCCTCCGCAAACGTGCAAGGTGTTCAAGTAAATAATGCTCCGCTCATCTGCATTTATTTATTTATTATGATAAAATGATGGGAAATTTATATGCAAATAGGCCGTAGCCCCTGGGGTTCTGGCACAACGCCAAGGCAGCCTGCTTCTCTCCCACCACCTGTCATTCTAGGATTTTTTAAACCTTTGCTGCATTAGCAAGATTCCAGCCTCATCCAAGAGAGACGAAAACACACACAGAGAAAGAATGTCTGCATTTCATTTACCCCTCAAAAACTACCACTGGTCCCTATAACATGAGGTCCTAGTCAAGGCAGGGCTATAGCTCCCTAGGAGAGCACCTGTTTTCAGCCCTTTGAATCCAGAAGGTCCCAGATTCAGTCCCCGGCATCTCCAACCATAAAAGATCAGGTGATGGGGAAGGCATATGAATCTAGCCAGCTGCCTTATACTAGGTCCTTGAAACCAGTATTGGCTGTATGGCTTAGCAGCAGCTCTCCAGGTTTTCAGGCATGGGACATTCCCAGCCTTACCTGTAGCTGCTGGGAAGTAGACCTTCTGCATGGAAAGAAGATGCTCCTCCCCCTGGAGAGAGACAGATTGTTGGAATGGACAGTACTGGGCTAGGTGGAATAATAGCTTGATACAGTAAAGGTCTGGGATGTTCCTTAGGCTTTTGAGTGGTGGTGGGGGCGGCAGCAGCAGCAGCAGCAACAACAGGGGTGTTACCAGTTTGAAAATGAAAGGATGGCCTGGTCTTTGAGGCCTGGAAGCCATTGCCACCAAATGTGGAAAGGGGCTTTGCTTTCCACCATGAGACACCTCTTTCGCGTTGCTGCACTTCTCTGCTGGAAACTTTCCCCCTGGTTCCTAACTTAATTTATGTCAAAATCCTCCCTGCATAGCTTGACCTCTTTCCTGGAGTCATGTGGTGCTTAAAACTCATTATTCCTCCATTGAAACAAGAAGTTAATTAAAAACCCTTTATATGCTTAAAAAAAGTTTTGATGAGTTGTCAGCAGTCTTGCCTTGCTGGACTAGAGATAGCACAACATGCAAAAGTTTAGCAGGCGATCAGGAGATGCCTGCATTTCCCGTCGCTTTGCAAGAGGAGTGTCGAGGGCGCAGCGTGCAAAGCCATTTTTGCAGCTGCCATCAGCAACATGGGCCTATCTCCAGCAATGCAGATCTCTCAGCTTCTTGCCGTTGGGTGAAGAGCTCTGCTCTCCTCTTCTTCTGAGGTGCAAACTTCCCAGAGTGCAAAGTTTTTATTTCTGCATCTTTTAGGGTTTTGGAAAGCCAGAAAAACAAACCAAAAATCTCATATCAGGCAGGGTAGCCAAATAGGGTTGTTATGGTTGGATTGCAGTATCCATCAGCCCCAGCCAACAGATACAATGGTCAGGAATGAAGGTGTTGTAGCCCAGCAAGGTCCCGGGGGGCACGACGTTGGCTATCCCTGTGTTACGTGTGAGCCCACTTTCCATACCGTTTGCACCTGCAGATGTTTCAGGGTGGACATACTGCTTCATTTTTATGCATGTCCCAGAACTTGTTGCTGAAATCCTGTAACTTTATTACTACAAATGTCCCAGGAGGTGTGGTTTTTTTTCTTGTTGGGGGGGGGGGGTTGTCCCTCTTTCATTGCACTATAGCACAAGATTGCCCCTCCAAATGGCAAAAATGTGGTAGCATTGGGGAAGCACTGCAGAATGACTCATAAAGCAGAATGATGTGTGGATGGTCCTGTATAAATCCCTTGCTAATGCACTGTTATTGTGTCAATGACGTTGCAGAATACATCCATTAAGAAGCACCAACCTGGAAGGGCCCTCTTAAGTCATTGCTGAGCTTAGCCCCCAACACACCCATTGTTGCCTGCTTCTTCCAGCTCTCAGAGAAGGAGAGCGGAGTGCTGGCTGGTTTAATTTGCACGCCAGCTACCCAGAACCATCTCCAGTCCAACCCACAGCTATGATTTCAGAGCAGTTTGGCTTCCCAGCTCTGGAAGCAGGTTGTTTTCTTGGCATTGCCTGGAGTTATCCTTCTGTTGCATTATTGCCCTTCTGCGTGCATTGGGTGTCAACAGAAGGCTGTGGGGAAATAAAATGTCACACCCCACCATAAGGAAGAACGTGATTGTTCAGTGTGTCGATCTGATTGGCAGGAGTTGAGCAGGTTTAGGGTTAACTTTAAAATCTTATATGTAACAGAAACAGCAAGTGTAATTTACTGAATTTGGGATTCACCCCAAAGGTTTGAAAGCACCTGTCATTTTAAATCAACATGCTCTTCTTTCTTTCTTTAAGCGCTGTTTTGCTTGTATGCTACACATGCCAGGTGGCTTGGGAAGCATGTTAAATGAAGCTCAAATTATTTACATTGAACTGATTCCACCTAGGCTCTTGTGATGCCCAATTGCACTTTGGTTGCTAGGCAAAGGCTTTCCCAACAGATTAAGGTGGTGGGTGCACAGCGCCCTGTGGTAACTCATAGTATGCAAAGTCTGTGGGTTTGGGAGCAAGCCTGTCTACTGAAATGATCCTTCCTAGCAGCATTTACCCATTACATGGGTGGAAGCAGAAAGGGAAGCCCTGTTACTCCAAAGGGATCCATATAAGTGGTGCTCTGTTTATGCTTCATGAGTCTATTGTGATGGGAGGAGCCATAGCTGAGTGCTGGGGCTTCTACTTTGCATGCAGAAGGTCGTAGGTTCAATCCCCAACATCTCCAGGCAGAGAGATAGGTAGGGATGTTAGGGATTGAACCTTGAACCTTCTGCATCCCAAGCAGATGCTCTAGCACTGAGCTTTGGCCCTTCTCCTAAGCCATCCCAGTATAAATGCAGAATGGGAAAGATATGTCATTGAGAGTATTGAGGGAAGAGGAAGGTCTTCAGCAGGAATCCCCATTCCACACACCCGGACCATGCAAAGCTGGTAATAGGCCCAGACCCCATTGTAGGCCCCATTGTAGGCCCATGCCAATTACGCCCACCCAGCCACCCCATTGTTTTGCCACACACTTACCAGTTTTCTGTTTGGAGGGTGGCTTCCTCTCTGGTGGTCTTCCTGATTGTGGCATGCCTTCCCCATCTGGCAAAAACCTCATCATCCTTCCTGCACCAGGCAAAGTTGTTTTGATTCTCTCTGGTATTTGGACAGTGCTAATGGTCTGACTTACGACATGTTTATATTTTAATGCTTGTGCAATTGTAGTTGATACTTGTAAACCACTTAGAAGCCTATTTTGGTGTTAGGCAGTAAATAGTAATAATTTATTAAATCTCTATACAGCCCTTCATCTGAAGATCACAGGGCACTGTACAAATAATAATAATAATAATAATAATAATAATAATAATTCCATAAGAAAATCTTCTGGTTTTATGTATGTGCTGAATATGTTTTCCCAAACTGCTCTATAAGAAAGAGAAATGTTCATTCTAAATGGGCAGTGAGGGAACTCTGATGAGGAAGACGGAGAAGTGAGTTAGAGAAGAGCTAGGGCGGTTTGCTTTGGTGCATTTCCATTTTGATTCAAGTTGTTCCTCCTCCCCCTTCTTTGGTCCCATCTCTAACACCCACATTCTTCTTCCCTTGGGTTAACTCAGAGTAACACAGCTTGGCAGGCTTGGATTTCTTCACCTGTCCTCATCCTGCCAGACGCCTGCTTTGAGATGTATTATTAATACTGATATTTTGCAGAAGCTGCCTGCACACTTTTGTTTTCTTAAGTCAATGAGGACTAGAAAGCTGCTATTTAAACTTCTGTGGGTCTTGTATCAACAGGCTAGATTTTAGCATGTGAAAGGGCAATCAGGAGTTCTGTGGAGTCCTAAGTGCATTTGAGCTTGACAGAATATGACTCATTATGATGATTCCGGAATTTCTGGCAATTTTATGATGTCCTTGGGTGGGGTGGGATGACAGATTTTATTTTGGAAGCAGGTGACTTCCTTCCTGAAATCTCCTGGGCAGTTCATCAGGGCCATGGGAACATTTGCCAGGAGGCATTGCTCCATCTGTCCCTGCTTGGCTCTCAGGGGGCACCATTTTTTGCTTGCAGTTGTTGTTTGCTGCTGTTGTAGCTTTTCAAATCACATTTCGTGCTCTTTGAATTTGCCTGCACAAGGCAACTGGGTCACACCCAGCTCTGTTTATTTATAACAGCATCCAGGCCATCTTTAGGTCTCGTAACTGGACTTATTAAGAGTTTCTTGACGTTCCTTGCAGAGATGGAGCAAATGAGGGCTGAGGTGAAGTCCCCAGATAGAAAACAGCTTAACAGGGAACATGATCCCCAGTGTCTCTAGGTAGGGCTGGGGAAAGTTCCTGAGGCCCTAGGGAGCCCCTGCCAGTCAGTGTAGGCAATCCTGAGCTAGATGGACCAATGGACAGCATAATGCAGCTTCCTATGTTTATATCCAGAGCACCAGTTTCTTCAACATATAGCTCAATATTTTTTTTAGCAAGAGAGACCTTTAGAGATTGGGCAATGTTGTATTAATTCAGATCTGTTTCTTACCCAACACTTGTTCCTGTCTCCTATTTACAGCTGCAACCTTTAATTCATCACTTTAATTGGGGATCAGACAACACCTTTCTAAGTAATGTTAATATGTATTCAAACCCATAGCTGGGTTGCCAGACCTCTAGGTCTGACCCAAAGTTCCCAGACTGTGCATGCAGCTTGCAGGCTTCAGTCTGGCTGAAAATTATAGCATAAACACTCAGGCAGGGGGTTGCCCTCTCCCTCCCCTCCCTCCCTCCCCTCTCCCAATTAACCTCCATCTCCAGGAACTTCCCCCATGACATCGCCAGGGGCCACCCTTAGGTCTGAATTTGGGCCCTGGAATATCAGGGTCTGAGATGCTCCTGACCTTGCAGCCCTCTGCATAGCAGGTTCCCATCTTCTTTCCTAGGATTAAGGGTATGTGTGGGGCTGTCAACTGAATTAACAGTTCATCAAGAGATTCAGAACCCGTGGCTTGAATCAGGAGGGTAAAGTGTTTAAAATAAGTAATGCCACACTACAGGTGGTGACCAGTGGGGTGTATGCACTGGGAAGGGGTGGGAATAGAGGCCTCCTTTTGTCCTGTTCTTCCTTGAGAAGGGGTGTGCACAAAATTATGCCTTGTTCCATTTCCTTTAGGGAGAACAGAAAGGAGGAATGTGTTGCGAAGAGCTGCACTTTCACAATTTGTCTGCCCCATAAACTTGTTTTCAAGAGCAAGGCTTTTGATTCCACTTTTTTATTCTTTAAATGATTTTTATTTAAACATTTATTCCAGGTTAAATTCTACAAAAAACAAAATAACAGCAATAAAAGCACTCTGGCAGAGAATGGGGGTGGGAAATATGGAAAACAAAGGAATATGTAGAGGAAAGGAAGGAGGAAAAAGTCTATTAAACATCACAAACCAAAAAATGATCACACTGTGAATTAAAACTATACCATTCTCTAAGAGATTTTAGGGCAGATGTGGGGAATTTTTGGCCCTCCAGATGTTGCTGAATTATAATTCCAAGCATCCCTAGCTTATTGGCCATGCTTGCTGGGGCTGATGGGAGTTGTAGTTCAGTAACATCTGGAGGACCAGAGGTTCCCCACAACTGTTTTAGAGAGGACATTTTTACTGATAATTTTATTGTAGGTTTCTTGTAAACCATTTTGAGGTTTTATTACAATCAAGGGGTGTATTAATCTTCTCAAACAAATTTGGCTCTATGGAGTCAACATTGGAATGAACAAGTACAGAGCTGCCTTGTGGGTACTCCTCAGCTGCCAACGGTTGTTGGAGCTGCAGGTAACTTCAATGGCAAAGTGTTTGCTCAGCTATACTTGGCTCACCAGCTAAGGCCATTCCCATATTGGGACAGACTGGTTTCTGTAATACGTCAATTTCAATGTGTCTACTGTGGGTACAATTTAGTTGGATACAAGGGGGGATTATTTGTTTTTGTTGCTTGCTTCAAAACTATAGTGTATTGTTTTACTCATTTGCAAATGCATGGAATTTAATCAATGGACTAAAGCATGATTAATCATGTAATGCACAGGTGGGCAACCTGACACCTCCCTGAAGCTGCCCCTTCCCTTCCATCCTATCAGTGTCCCTTCTTGCACATTTCCTCATTTTCCCTGGCTTTTAAAACATGCCCCCCCCCCCCACTTTCTGTGCAGATCTCATACACACAATATTTCTTTGAGAGTAACTCATCAAACCCAGAGAGGCTCAATTCTGAGTTGACCTGCACAGGAAGGGGAATTCTCATCTCAGCTAACTGTGGAACAGCTGAAGTGGGACCCTCAGTTAATATGGAATTACTACTTGTTTGCTTTGACTGTGTACCCACAGTCAGCATGTGACGCCAGAAGGAATGCAACCCTCCACAGAAAGAGGTTCCCCATTCTTGGACTAGTATTTATTTTTTTTAAATGGTGAAAGGGTTATAGACTGTGGCATTACTTGTTGGGGCGCCAGTGTGGTTTAGTGGTTAGACTGTGGACTAGGATGTGGGTCATATCCCATCTGCCTACAAAGCTCGGCCACCATTTCTTAGCCTAGCTAGCCTACCTCACAGGGTTGGTGTGAGGATAAAAGGCTTCGGGTGGGGAGAAAAACCATGGAAGCCAATTCTAATCTCCGCGGAGGAAAGGCAAGATATAGAATGCGAGCAATGAATTAATCAGATGGATTGAATCACCGCGGAGGCTATGTCATTCGGGTCCTCACCTCTCCCCAATCCCTAATTTACTCTCCGCGCGGCTGTAGCTCCGCCCACTCCCCCTTCTTGCATCCACCTTATCCGGTGGGCGTGGCTAGGATCCGAGCGGCTGCCCTATGAGCGGCTGCGCCTGGGCCCTGCTCGCCCCGAGACCACGCCCCTTTGGAACGTTCGGCGGTTTTGATACATTTTCAGGTTCCATTGAGAAAAAAACAGACACGCGCGCAGAAGCCCCCGTAGAAATCTTGCAGAACGGGAGCCGGGAGGAAGAAGAAAGAGAGCGAGAGAGCGGCGCTGCGGGAAGGAAGCCGGAGCCCGCCGAGTGCCGGATCGTCAGCTGGGGACGCCGTCGCTGGCGGCGGCGGGAAGCACCAGAAGACGACGCGGAGGAGAGCGACGGAGGCGCCACCGCCGGGCGAGCAGCCCTTCTCCTCCTCCTCCTCCCGGCCAGCTCGCCCTGCTTGCCCGCCGCCCAGCCCTGGGAGCGCCGGGTGGGCATGAGAGCCGCGAGCCGGCCGCCCCCCGCCAACCTGCCTCTGCAGCCGCCGCCAGAGGAAGACGAAGCCGCCGCCGCCGCCCCGCGATGTCCAGGAGGAAGCAGAGCAAGCCCCGGCAGATCAAACGTGAGCAGCGCCGCCTCCCCGACAACTTTGCTGTCCGCCCGCTCCCCTTCCCCGTACACCCCGTTCTTTGCCGCTTCCCGCCCGCCCGGGCTCGGAGTAACGTCCCCCCCTCCCGCTAATTTCTTCGTTATTTCCTTTTCTGTGTCTGTCCCCACCCCCATGGCCAATTCATCTAAAGTTAGTGATCGCGGTTCCCCCCCGCGCCTTCCCAATTTCCAGATGTACTCAGAGTTGGTGCTTGGAGACTTCTTCCTCTCTCCCCCCCCCGCCAAACTCTGAAGGGTTCTCCTTCCCCGGAGGTTTTCTCCCTCCACCCTTATGGTATATCTCTGACTGGGAAATACTCCTGCTTAGACACCACCACCCCTCGACGCCGCCAATTATCCAGGAGTGACAAGGCGTGTGTCTGTGGGGCGGGGGGGGGGGGCTTTCTGTCCCCGACCCTTTCGACGCGGGGCTAATTGCCAGGGACCGTCCTCTTTTCTCCACTTCCACGCTTCCACCACTTTGATCTTTGCCTTTCCCCGAAGGCTTCGGGTCAGTTTCACGTCCCACTTCCATGCAACTCCTGGATCGGGTCCTCCCCGCTCCATCCCCCTCCCAATAGTCTTCCTTGCTGGTTTAGGTTTTAGGTCAATCCTAAGAGTCTCCGGGCGGGAGGGGGGGATTACGCGATCCCATTCTAGTCCCTTCCCCGCTGCTCAACCGCCTGCCTTTTACTTGACCCTCGTGGGAACGAACTTGGCAGTCTGCGGGGGGGCGGGATGAGGCGTCATTTTGACAGCTGCCCTGTAGATGGAGGCGGGGGGGCGGCGGCGGCGTTGTCTCTCCTTGTTTGTCCCCGGATAAGAGGAATTGCTACCACCCCACCCTCGCTAGCAATGCTTCTTATTTACACAATGACCATTCTTGGAAGCTCCCCCCAGCGCCTCCTCAGAAAGCGCCAGCCTGCAAGCCAGACGACCCGGTGAGGGTCTTTCTCGGGCTCCGCGGCGGCAGAAGTCCCCCCTTTTGGGGGTTGGCGGCGCGATGTCCTTTGCCCCCCGATCTTCCTGCTCCATCCCCGCCCCCTCCTTTCCTCCTTCCCTGGTGCGATCGCCAGGCCGATAGAGCCGCCCCTGATGAGAGCCGAGATAAAGGCTTTAAAATATTCCTTTCTGCAAGTCCCGTCCTGATAAGATCGCCCTGTCGGGATGGGCTGAAATTGCGATCTTATCTCGCGCTTGACTCACTCCCATCTCCTCTTGCATTAGGAAGCCTCATCTTGAGGGACTTTTGCAAATGTTGGCGGTGCGTGTTTTTAAAGGGGAGGGGGCTTGGGAAGAGGGTCTTCCTTAGGAAATTTCTTGGAGGGGAGAGAAAGTTGAGGGACTCAGACCCTGGTTAGGTTTTAACTATTTGTGCCTGGGACATTTGGTGCCTTAAAAACACCTGCCTCTGAGTGTCTGCAGAGTGCGTTCTGGTACTCATCATTTATATCCTGATGAGCTTGTTGTCCCTGGAGGAGGAATAACAGAAAAAGGAAGTGAGAAGATTATATCTTCTGAATTAGGTGGGTGTAGACTTGTGAGTTTCACAGCACTCTTCATCAAGGAAAATGCTTTCGCATGTGCATCATTGAGGCATTGAGATTTGTATTTGTGGCCTTTGGAGGTGTGGACAGTTGAAGTGCATGCTGCGGACGTGTTGCTCATTGAAGAAGAACCCTCTGTATTTGATAGTGTCCGATACAGAGAATTGTGTTGCTGGAAATCACTGGAAGTGAGGCCCCTGTGAGAATGTATCCATATGCAAGGTACAGGAGCAAGCTCACTGCTGATAATGGGTTCCCAACCAGGTGAAGAGTTATGTGAAAGTTGGAAGCTTGCATAGGCCATGCTTGGACCAATCATGGACATTTTCCCTATTTTACATCTCCTACTTGGTCATTTCTTAGTAACTATTCCTGCATCTGGACAAAAGAAAATAGTTTTGGTTTCACTTGACTATTTTTTTAAAAAAATAAAGTTTGTTTTAAAGTACATGTTACAAAATCCCAACTCTCCCCCACTTTTGTTTTCTCTTTTTTGCAGTTGTTATATATTGGAAATTAATAAAAATGTATTTTTTAAAAGGTATATTTTAATACTCTGCTAGGTTGTGGGAAGGGCCATCAAACCATAGAGATGTAGAGAGCTAGAAGGGACCCCTCAAAGGTCATCTGGTCCAAACAGTCTCAACACACACTGTCCCCCATCCAGTTTGAAACCAAACTGGACCCTGCTTAGTTTTGCAAATATGCCAGCAGTTTTTATTGCTGAACCACCAGGGGGTGCTTTCAAGGTTCCAGGTCCAATCCCTGGCACCCCCTGCCTGAAACCCTGGTGAGCTGCTGCCAGTCAGAGTAGACAGTACTGAGTGAATTGGACCAATGTTCTGCTTTTGGATGAAGCGCCTTCCTATGTCCCATTCCCACAAGTTCTCCTTATGATTCTTTCTCCTCCTTGCACTTGTGCTGCTGGTTATCTTGTCCTCCCTGATGCTTCCGCTCCACATATCCATAACCCAATTAAGTTTTGGTAATCCTTGATGATTTCCATATCCGGGAACATCAATGTTTGGCACCACCGTCTCTGCAAGTTTAACTCTCCTGGGCGTTCATATTGGTGTCTCTGGATTAAACAGTTCTCTTGAGGTTCTCAAACTGATCAGTCAAAGGTGGTCTGGATTCAGGTCAGCCATCTAGGAAAGTGATTGTTTGTTTTGTTTGGGGGGGGCATGGGGGATTTTAATATCAACTACTGGAACATTCCCACTGGCAGGTTTGACTGCTTTTTTTCTGCTCCCTTCCTTCCTGAACAGATCTTAGCCGCTGATAAGGCAGAGAGAGAGAGAGAGATGTGTGTGTGGATAGGGAAGCAGGGCCCCATGTGATAATATTGCTTTATCTTCCCCTGGAAATAATTGCTATACTAAGCTGCATCTACCTGTTTGCCTGCCTGAGGTGATTCCTTTTACTGATAAGAACAAAGCAAACTTTTTTTTTTAGGGTGATAGTTACCCCTGCACACACCCCTGCAATTTCCATTCAGTTTTCTGAATATCCAACTTCTTCCTTGCATCACAACAACTTTTTTTTTTTTTGCTTTAGCCACTCCCCTTGTTTGTGGGGGCGGGACTTTCATGCCATCAGCTACTTCATTATTTTGGATGTCTTCTATTTGGGGGAAAAAGCCATAGCTCAATGGGAGAGCATCTGCTTTGCATGCAGAAAGTCCCAGGTTCGCTCCCCTTCCTAGCATCTCCAGGTATAGGGATGAGAGGGACTAGTGCCTGAAACCCTGGAGAGCTGCTGGCAACATGTGGTGGGGCAACACGTTCCTATACAATAATAAGTTTGTAACAATCTGAGATCCTGCTGGGTTGAAAAGTGGGTACTAAGCCTCTTATACAAGGGGAATTGGCTCATTTTGACAGATTTCCACCCATTGCAGTGGAAAACCAATGTGAGGAATTTCCTGTGTTCAATATGAGCTTAACTCGCCCCCCCATGCCTCCCCTGCCCCAGTTCTTTAATTTCCCCAGGTTTCAGTCCAGGAACATATGAAACAATAATGAGTTATTTTGCGCACATGCAGAGTGCATCTTTCCCTTGAAATATTTGGGATTAGGCATATGAGCTCCTAGTTAGAAGGAATGGGTTGCAGGTGGGATTATATCTGGAGTGCTTGAAGAGAATGGGAGGGAGGCTAAGCCCCAGGGGTTTCTGCGATGATGTTTTTGGCATTCAGCTGTGCTGTGCGAAATGCTCCCAGATTCCCTCAAATGATCCCGTGACGTGCGTAATCTGTACACGAAGAGTGAAGTTCACGAGGGGGTTGAGGGGCTGGTCACGTTCGTCCATTTCTTTTTGTGTAACTGGAGGATTTGTGGGTCTGTGTGAATTATCCGGTGTTGGGTGCGGACCTTTAAAACAAGAAGAAGAAGAAGGGAAACTTCTTAATGACAGGCAGGCTGGGGGACTGCAAGGAAGGCCAAGTGCTGCTTCAGTTGTGGGCTTAGGAAAGGCGCAAAGTGATCTGCCTGCTTCTTTTCTTTGGCCGAGGAAAGTGGCGCCATCCAGGACTGCAGGCCTCTTAGCTGCCCCTGGCACATGCCTAGCAGAGATCCTGTGGCTTCCATCTTCCAGAAGATGCCGTTTGTTTGGGTGGTGTGTCTTCCTCTCCCCCCCCCTTTTCTCCTTTCAACTTTCCACCCTGTTTTGTCTTGCCAGGAGTTGTTAGGTCTTTCTGAGCTGCTGTTGTGCATTAATTTCCAGCTCCTTTCTTGTCACCCCCGTGCGCTGTTCTCCGCTTAATAAGGAGCCAAAGGTGATCTGAAGATGGATTGGGATGTTTGCAGGGATGGGCAGCTCTGTGAATACATTAAGCTGACTTGCACTTGAAAGCTCCAGGCTGCTGCGGCTCCTCCTCCGGTTTCTTCAGAGATGCAAAGGGATGATAAAGTGGAGGATGTTGATGGGAGGCCAGATAGAGATGGCCAGAACTGATGAAGGGGTTGGAGATGGCAGATAGGCACCCTTTATTGTCCCCACCCCACCCTCCATTGGCATGAAAATGGCAGTCAACAAGTACACAGGGCAGTGAAATACGTGGGTGTTTAGAAAAATTGTTCTTTTTGTTACTTTGCTTTCTCTCAAGGGGGAGAAAAGTATGCATGAGTTAAGGCTCTTGTAACTGAGCTGCAGAACTTTTTTTCCCTTTTTCTTTAAGTAGATGTCAGATCATCTCTGCCTTCCTGATTCATATCTGCTGACTTGAGTTTGCTTCACTGCTTCTTGGCTCCATTTCTATTCTCAGTCTCCCCACTCCCCCCAATGCCTGATGTGAAATGCAGATAAATTTGAAAGAAGGGGGGGGGATCTACGAGGGGGAGGAAGCCTGGGAGATTGACAGAAAGTGATTAGATGAAGATGAGACCCTGGATTGTATTTAACCAGCTAGTTGGTGTAAGTTATTATTATTATTACTATGATAATGAATTGCTTCTCAAGCCACAAATATGCTGCCGTTTGTTTGCATTTTTTAAATAGGAGAAATACTATACTAGTGGTTCCCAAATATGTTGGGTCCTCTACCCTATTAAAAACATTATTCAAAATAGCAATTTGCCCTCCCCACTAAGGAAGATGATAACACACTAAAATTCATTAATTGCACTTTTATTCAAAATTCAGTTATAAAACTATTTGGTTTAATTCAGCCAAATTGATGAACTTGGTCCAGTGATGCCAGATTTCAAATTCTGATAGTCGTTTACACCTCCAGACCCCCTCTTAGTGCCCCCTAGGAAATTTCAATGCACCCCAGGGGCTTGTACCACTCACTTTTGGCTTTGCCACAGGCGACACTTTGCCTGCAGGTCATCTCCAGGAGGACCGGGAGCGAACCCCGCCTGAAGCCCTGGGGAGCCACTCCTAGTCAATGTGCCATGGGGAAGTCAAACATTTAAAGTACACAATTTCATTCCAAAGACTCCTGGGAATTGTAGTTTACAGAGCTACAGTTCCCAGCATCTTAACAAACTGAAGTTCCTGGGATTCCTGGGGGGGGGGCAGAAGTCATTTGCGTAGGATGTGCTTTCAATGTATGTTGTGGATCTGCCCCTATAGACGGCCCAGTGGTCCGACTCATTGTAAGGCACCTTTCTAGGAAGATGTCAGTCAATCAACCTGGTGGGCTTGTAGGAGTCTGTTCTGCTTCTGTCCCGTCCTGCGGGGATGTGTGTGCCTTCCGAAGCACCACAGCAGTTACTAGCCATGACTGTTCACTACAGAGGTGACTAAGAAAGTTGTCCCTTACCACTGGCGGTATGAAGGTCACTCCGATTTCCACTGCAGTTTAACCACATCTATTGTTTATTTTGGGGCCACCCCTCAGCTGAAGTGCTTGTGAAGTGAGGGCAGTGCACAATAAAAATGATAAAACAATAAGAAGTAAAAGGGCAACCTGAGAAGGGCCCAGCCTTGGAACCAGAGCATTTTCTTTCTTATAGCTCTCAAGAAGAGGAGCCTTCCTGGACCAGACCAAAGACCTGTGTAGTGTAGCCTCCCATTTCCCAGGAGTAGCCAAGGTGATGCTCCCAACCAGGTGCCAATAAGCCCTGTTCCTCCTCAGCAAGAGGCATTGAAAAGCATACTTACTCTGATCTTGGAGTTAGAGTATAGCCTTCATGGCTGCAAGCTATCAGTAGCCTTACTCTTCACAAATCTGTCCCAACCCTGTCTTAAATTGGTGGCCATCGCTGCATTTCACAGTTACGAATTACAATGATGTGCTGTCTAAAGGAACACTTCCCTTTGTCTGCTCCACATCGCCCACCACCCAGCGTCAAATCCAAACAGTGGTAAAAGGTCGGCAGAGCAGCTTGAAAGCCAGCTTAGGTTATGTGCTGGCCTAAGAAAAACTACTTTGGAAAGAAAATCGTATCATGGCTGATGCCAGGCAGACCCTCTACCCTTATACTGCTCCCCTAGCTCACTGTGGCCTAGTAGGGTTGGGGAAGCTTTGACCCTACAGCGTCAGTTGGATTCCATCTTCCTTCAGCACCAGGCAGCATGGACAGTGGTCAGGGATGATGGGAGTTGTAGTCCAGTGACATCTGGAAGGCTGCAGGTTACCCAGCCCATGCTGCACTGGCTGGCAGAAGACCCATGGCTGGCAGAGGGATTATGCTCCTGAATACCAGTTTGCTGGGAGTTGCAGGTGGGCAGGGTGCTGTTGTGCTCAAGTCCAACTTTCAGGCTTCCCACAGGCATGTGATTGACCCCTCTGAGAACAGGATGCTGGACGGGTCACTGGCCTGATCCAGCAAGCTCATCTTCTTTTCTTAAGGAACTTCTAACTAGTATTTGTCAAGAGGTACTATTCCCCCCCTTATTTTTCCTCTGAAAAATATTTCGTAAGCTATTGTTCCGTTATTGAAATGTTGCAGTCTGATGAGCAGAATCCTTTTGGGAGAGATGTCGTGGCTTTTGAGAGACAAGTCCCTCCAGCTGAGGGCTGGGAGGCTTGGCTGCTGCAATAATTAGGACTTGGTAGATCCCATTTCCTGGACCCTTTTTATTTTTTAATGCCACTTTTCTGCCACAAAGGCCTTTTGAATAGTTCACCGTCTAAAGTTTAAATGTTTGTGAAGGGTTTGTTTAGAGCTCTTGCTTTGTATGCTGAAAGGCTCAGTGTCCAACGCCAGGAATCTCTGGTGAAAGAGGATTCTTGTGGCAGACTCCCTAATAAAAAGGCCCAGACTGTGGCAAAGGATAATGTCACTGTGGCAGCAGCTTCTTTTCAGACCTGCTTTTGTACGTCATGTGTACATATGGTGATACACTTCCTGAATTATCCTGGGTTCATAGCATTTAGGACAGCCCTCCCCAGCTTAGTGCCCTCCAGACCTTTTGGAGAGTTTGGGCTTTCAACTGGCATTTGGTTGGCCACTGTGAGAACAGGGTGATTGATGGATTAGGTGGGTCTTGGGTCTGATCCAGCAGGGCTCCTGTTATGTTCTTACAACCACAACTTCCATCATCCCTGACCATTGGCCATGCAGGCTGGGGTGGATTTAGGCTGTTAAAAGTGAAGATGCAGGGCCTTCCACTTGGCCCAGAACAAACTGGAGAAGATCAAAAGGAATTGGTGTGATGTGAGCACCTGGGGGAAGTTAACAGCCTCATTCCAGACCAGCTTCTCACCTGTTTTCAGTGACAAGTCTTGTGTGTGTGGCACATGGCAATGCTCAGGTTGAGAGGCACCCAAAGCATGGTAGACTGTACCTTTGTCAAAAAAGAAGTCCTCCATCGTACAGTGCATAATTAATTTGATAGGTTAGATACATCAAGATGGCATTAAAAGGGATCGGACAAATTTATGGAGGAGGAAAGGGGCCATTGATGGCTACCAGTCATGGCAGTATGGAACCTCCAGGTGCAAAGGTAGTCTATCTCTTAAACACCAGCTGTGACCAGACATTTGTAGCTCAGTAGCAGAGCATCTCCATTGCATCAGATGGTCCCTGATTCATTCCCTAGCATGTTTAGGAGGGAGTGTAGTGCCCCCCCAAATGAAGTCCTGGAGAGCTTCCACCACTGTAGGTGATACTTCCACCACTGTAGGTGATACTGTGCAGACCAATAGCCTGATTTGGTAGAAGGCAGCTCTCTTGTGGTCCTAGCTGCTGGAAAGGCTGTTCCTGTCACGCCCTGCTTCTCCGATTCCTGGAGGCTTCTGGTTGGCTCCTGTAGAAGCAGGA